CCAGCAGCACCGCATCCCGCAGCTCGTCCTCCTGCAGCTAGGAGGGGAAGAGAGAAGGTAGAACTGGTGGCCCCACTGGGTCCACAGGTTCTCTTCTGGTGGGTGTGTTGGGAAGCCCCCACTTTCTACCTTCTAGCTTCTCTGTTGAAAAAACACAGTAGCATGGTAGTCTACTGCTAAACACAAGATCAAGAGCTATAAATAAACTTGAGGATGCCTAAACTTAAGTCTAGAAAAGGTCTTCTAATTTGAGAACCTGCCCTAGGCAAAATAACACAATTTCCAAGTGGAAAAAGCAAGAATGTGAGGTGCCATTTTCGCCACCTCTTTCCACCATCTTCTAGGCTCAGATGTGAAGGCATGAAAATTCATGAAAAAAATTCTGTCCTATGCCAACAGAGAGAGAGACACAACATGTTATATCCACAAAGAAAAAAAAAAATCACATTTCTGGCCTCTGATACTTGGGAGTTCCCAGACTTCCATACCACCACAGAGTTTGTTCTGTCCCCAAGCCTAGGGCTCAGTTCCTAGGATTCTGGGTACCTACCATCTTCTGGAGTTCATCAGCAGACTCCTGGACCCGCTCCCGGTCATTACTGTCCACCACAAAGATGAGGCCCTGGGTGAGAAGGAAGAAAGGAAGGAGAAGCAATCACTCCCTCCTGGGTCACACTGTGTAATCTGGCCCTTTCTCTCTTCTCCCATCTTTACTTACGTCAGCTCTTCTCATCTGGTAAACTTCCACTAAGACTTTGCATAAGTCCTGCCACAAACTAGAGAAACCCCTGTGAGGGATACAGCCTCCAATCTCAGAGGAGGCAGTCTATCTAAAAGATGAGCAAGGATCAGGGAAAGATACTAAGGAGCTAAATCAAGCAGTGTGGCCTCAGAATACTGCTTCCCAGAAGTCTAAGGTAGCTAAGCCTAAGAACAAGACTAAGGTGAGTTCTGAAGGATGAGCAGAGTCTAATCTAGCAAAGTGGGTGGCAGTGGGTCTTCCTGTCTTATGGACCCTGCCTATAGCCAAAAGCTCAGTTCACCTAGTCCTAACAGTTTTTCCTTTCTTGGGGTTGGGGAGTTCCCTCCCATACTCCACCTGAGTGTTCTGGAAGTAGTGCCGCCACAGAGGCCGAATCTTGTCCTGGCCTCCCACATCCCAGACTGTGAAACAGATGTTCTTATATTCCACTGTTTCCACGTTGAAGCCTGCAGATAATGGGGGTGGGGTGAAGTGGGTGAGAAAAAGTCCTGAAAGGAAGGAATTCACTAAAAACTACTCAGATCTCAACAGGGTTACAAAACCAGAAGGCAATGATCAAGGCCAAGGGAAACAGGACCCAGGAGGACTGGCTGTCAACAGATGAAGCGGGGCTAGGCCACATCCATCCCGCCTCCCTCACCATCCGGCAATGTAGAGATATGGTGACCCACTTCTCAAGTAGCAATATCTGGTGTCATGGTCAGCTCCAGATAAGGGCCTCAGCAGATCCGGAGAAGGCCCGCCGCAGCGCTCCCAGATCCTCCCTGCCTCACCCTGGGGCTCACCTATGGTGGGGATGGTGGTGACAATCTCCCCCAACTTCAGTTTGTACAGGATCGTAGTCTTGCCAGCTGCATCCAAGCCAACTGCAACAGAGAGGGGCACAGAGATGGAGACGGGAGCGAGGGAGCCCCCTAGAGACGAGGGAAAGGTAGAAGCCTGGACAGCTGATGGTGATGGGGGCGGAGAGCGGGAGCGCCTCCAGGTGCGCGCTGTTCTCTACCTTCGGGGCCTTCAGGGCAGTCTGGGTGGCTTGTACCAACTGCTGTCCACAGAGTGGGCTAGGGACGGGACAGGACTGGGAGGTGAGGGACATGGGAGGAAGGCCGAGCTCCTTTAAAAAGTCATTTCCAAGGGCGGAATCCTCCCTTCTTAGCAGCCGGGCTGGGGCGGAGGAAGCTTCACCCCACCCAGGCCCGCAGCTCCGGGTTTCAGGCCCCGAAGGCGGCGCTGCGGACCCGGACCGCTTCAAAGCAGAGGCCTCGGAGGGTTAGGAGGTGGTGACTCGAGGTCAGAGAGCCAGGTGAGCCGGGCTGGAAGGGACGCGGGGGCGAGAGGGCTGCGCCGAGGCCGGCGCCCAGGTTCGGGCCGCGCACTCGATCTGCCTCACCCATGAGGATCCGCATCTGCTTCTTCCCGAAGATCCGCGAAAAGAGCGCGGACACGGTGAGGCCCATGGCGGGGCCCGGGGGCGGGGGCGCGGGCGCGGACGCGGGGTACTGGCTGGAACCTGCCGGCCGCGGGGGGATGGGGCGCAGCAGCAGCAGGAAGAGGCGCCGCCGCCTCCGCGCGTCCCGGCCCGGTGGACGTCACTCGGCTCCGCCCCCTCCGGGCCCGCCTCAGCCCCGCCCCCAGGCCCGGACGCCGGGCGGAACAGAAGCTGTACCAGACTCCGCCGCCTGACCTAGTCGCCACTTGTTTCTGTCAGGCCTGTAGTCGTCCGATCCGCAGCTCCAGGGGAGCTGAGTAAAGGCTGACAGCGGACCCCACCCCTATATTTGGTGGCTGGCCGCTGGGCTTGGAATTGTTGCGTCCAGACCACTCTGTGCTCCGGTTAAGTTTTTGGGAACTAGTAGCACGACTGTTTGCACCCCCTTCTTTGGGCGGGGTTTGAAAGCTGTGTGCAGGGATCTTAGTATTCTCTTGCCCTTTGGGCTCCGGCTGAGTGTTCTGTGTGCAGTAGGTGCCTCCACGACTTGTGCCTGGGTGCTAGCTATCATGGTTCCTTAAACCACATAGTTCATAAATCCCCGGTCTGCAGGACCAGCGGAAGCCACACTTGGACAGAGTGATTGCAGACCCACTACTGGAGAACTCCACCTTGCCTTCATCTCCCTGGGAACACTTCCTTTCCATCTGGGGCCAGGAAGCCTTTCTGAAGTTCTCTTTGCCAGACTTGGGGACCTGTATTATTATTGCACATCTATCCAGGATTTTTTGAGGATCTTGTTTCCCTAGTCGTAAAGAGCTTCATATGTAATGTTATTTTAACATCTAAGCATGGTAATTTACATTTATGTGCTTCACCAGTAATTGTTGGGTTGAACTGGATTATTAGGTTGTTCAGTAGAGCAAGGGCGTGTGTTATGCCTATTCTGGATTCCCAGGATCAATCGCTCATGAACTTGAGGTGAGCTGACCTGGGAGTCTGAAAACTCTTCATTTATTCAACAAATATTTACTAATTGCCCACTATGTGCGGGCACTATTTCAGGCCTTAGGTCAAATATCAAGTCTGCTATATTTTTGAGGATTTGCATTCAATGATCCCCACAACTTTTGCCATTTTCTCATTTGTAAAAAGAGACATATTTGTCCTAACTTAAGGGGTTATGGTGAAGATTAAAAAGAGGAAATGATGCCACTGAATGTTTTGTATAACACCGCTGGATGTTATCAAGGCTATTAAAAACCTGGGTCTAAACAGACCTCCAGGGCCTGCCCCATCCTTATAGGGAACCAGGTGTGTGACTGCATAATTTTCTTTCACTCTTTAGTCATAGTCTTGAATTCTGAAGAAGGCTTTTATAAAAGTCAAAGTATACATTTCAAAGATTCCCAATCTAAGAGTTAGCAGCCAACAAATCAGGTCAATTTTACATCCTAAGCTCTATCAACCTCTTTTTCCATTCCTGTTGTCACTACCCTATTTTACTACCATCATTTTCCAGGACTGAAAAAGCCTCCTCACAGGTCTCCTGCCCCTACGATGTCATACAAGTCTGGTGATGTCCACTTCTTGAGAGTCAAAATCCTTTAATGCCTTACCCAGGATAAAATCTAAATGCCTTAAGTTGAGTGGCAGCCCTATTTGTTGTCACCTCCTTCCCATACCCTAAGCTACTTCTTTGAGAAGATTCTTAATGCTTCCTGGGTGAGTCAGGTTCTCTTATAGCCCAGAAGTCCTTGCAGTCTTTTCTACCCGCCTAGAATGCTGCTTTCCCTCATCTCTAATTAGATGGGCAATAATTATTCATCTTTCAAATCCCCAAATATTTTCCCTGAGACCATTTGTGCCTCCCCTAGATAAACCTTCCCCCTCTTTGAATATAGCCATACATACTATATGATAGCAGGACCTACTTATTTGCATGTCTGGATCCTCACTAGATTGTGAGCTCCTTGAGGGCAAGGGCATATGATGTTGTCACCTGGCACAAAACTTAGTATGTTGAGAGTCAGTCAGACAGGATTTCTAAACTTACTTGTTGTGTGACCTTGGGCATGTTACTTATCTTCTGTGTGCATTAAGTTTCCTTACTAGTGCTAATTGTTATTTTGTGAAGATTAAACAGCAAAACTCTTATGAGGCTTCTGGACATATAGCTGGCATTCAGGATGGATCCTTAGAGGTACAGAGTGCCCTCTATAAATATTTGTTGAATCAACTCAGCAAAACTAAGTAGGAGTACTATTACAGCATTTGCTAATTAGATGCCAAACGTTGTACAAGAAAGAGATGCAGTTTTTGTGGTCTTAAAGAGAGTCAGCTCCAAATAGTTGGATAGTTCACACGTGTGTTTGGGAAGAACGCAGTGCGACGTCGCCCCCTGTCGCTTGCTGATCGTAGCCCGAGAGCAAGCTTGGTCGACCTTACCAAACCATCACTCCAGCGTCCTGGACTTTGCTTGCTCTACTCTACCCAAAGCCTGTCCACTGCGGCTCGCATTAGGGCTGGTTTTTCAACAGGCCGCCTCCCACTAACCCGCTGAAGGAGCCCCGCCCACCTCGCGCCCTTGTGGGGCGGAGCCTTTGGCGTCAAACTGTCGTCACTTCCAGCGGACCCGGAAGCGCCGCTGTCGGCCGGCTGTGGTAGTTAAGAAGTCACGATAGGACCCAGTGTGGCGTAAACCGTTGGCGGACGGTGGGCCGAGGGGGCGGGCCCGGGCTGCGGTGGACCCGGACCAGCGGAGAGGGCGGAGCGGCTTCTTAGCCAGTGAGGGCGAATTTGGGCTGTGCGCTCGGGTGGTGCCGGCGGCGCCCCGCCTACGCGACCGGACCCGCTCCCGCTCCCGCCCCCGCCGCCTGGGACCCGGCGGGCGCTTCTGCCAGACTTGTCCCCGGACCGCGTCGAGTCGCGGACCGCCCGGTGGAACTCGTGTGTGGCTTGTGGTCAGACAGCCCTTGTTGCTGCGTTCCAGCCCCAGCTCGCGTCTTCGCGGCCTTCTCCCGGGCTTCCCTAACACTGACGTGGAGCAACCTGCTGGGAACCCCCATGGAGAAGTTTGGGATGAATTTCGGGGGTGGCCCGAGCAAGAAGGACCTACTGGAAATCATAGAGACGCAGAAGAAGCAGCTTCTCCAGTACCAAGCTCGGCTAAAGGATGTGGTCCGCGCCTATAAAAGCCTGCTTAAGGAGAAAGAGGCGCTAGAGGCCAGCATCAAGGTGCTGTCGGTATCCCACGAGGCCGATGTAGGCCTTGCAGGTGTCCAGCCTTCAGGTCTCACCTTTCCTGACTCAGTGGATGACCGATGCTCCACTCACAGCGAGGATAGCACTGGGACCGCCACCAGTTTAGATACTGCAGCCAGTCTCACTAGCACCAAGGGCGAATGTGGGGTAGAAGATGACAGATCAGCCCGTGGACCACCAGTTCCAAAGTCTGAAGAGGCCAGTGGATCAGAGAGTGGCGTTAGCAGTAGCAGTGGGGATGGGCTCTTTGCTGGTAGTGAGGTGGACAAAAGACTGCACCAGCTGAAGACTCAGTTGGCTACTTTGACCAGCGCCTTGGCCACAGTCACCCAGGAGAAATCCCGTATGGAGGCTTCTTATTTGGCTGACAAGAAGAAGATGAAACAGGACTTGGAGGATGCCAATAAAAAGGCAGAGGAGGAGAGGGGCCGTCTGGAGGGAGAACTGAAGGGGTTGCAGGAACAGATAGCAGAAACCAAAGCCAGACTTATAACTCAGCAGCATGATCGGGCCCAAGAGCAGACTGACCATGCCTTGATGCTGCGTGAGCTCCAGAAATTGCTGCAGGAGGAGAGGACGCAGCGCCAGGATTTGGAGCTTCGGTTAGAAGAGACCCGAGAAGCCCTGGCAGGGCGGGCGTATGCTGCTGATCAGATGGAAGGATTTGAACTGCAGACCAAGCAGCTGACTCGTGAAGTGGAGGAGCTGAAAGGTGAGCTGCAGGCCATTCGAGATGAGAGGAATCAGCCAGATCCCCGGCTGAAAGAGCTTCAGGAAGAGGCTGCCTGCCTTAAGAGCCACTTCCAGGCTCAGTTGCAGCAGGAAATAAGGAAGGTAACTATCCTCTTCAAATGTTAGTCATTTAATTGAATTATTGTTTGTCTTCTCAACTACTATCGTTTCTGATGGCTATCTAAAAGCTTCCAGGAGTGAGTCCTGGGAAATCCTGTTCTGTGTGGTGTTGATAGTATCCAGAGTGTGTGGAGTATCCAATAGGATGTGGAGGTTCTGAGTGTGGCTGAGTCTAAGCCAGACAGTTTTGAGCCTTGGAGTGTTGGCAACTTACCAGTTAGTTGTTCTCTGTGAAGCAATATAGTGGCAGCTGTACAGTGAAAGGTAGTGTGTATATATACCTAGAGCTACTTGCCTCTAGGCAGAATGACTGAAGGGGGCAAAGAGGATTTTTGCAGAAGAAATAACCTCTTGTAATTGCTCTCAGTCATCATTTGCCTGTTTTGGAAAAGGGCTCCTTTATACTGCTTCCTTTCAATGTAGAGAGAAATCCAACTCATTGTTGAACTTCCAGGAATGTTGCAAAAACAGAGAATGTTAATGATTTCTTAATAGAACTTGCGGAACCACATGATAGACAACAGGAACATACTTTATATGTGAGCTCTGTGGAAAATGGAAAACTCAACAGAACAGCAGAAGCTATACAAAAGTGCTTAGCTTTAAAAATCTCCAGTTGCCATTCTTATCAGGCCACCCCAATCCTGTGATCCTATTTCTCCCCTGTCCTGCTTTTTTCTCCCAAAGTTTGCTGTAGGGCTTTATGGCTTTTCTGGATGCATTTTTGTCTGTTCCCTTGTTTTGCAGACAGCCCTTGTAGAGGATCAGCTCCGCCAGCAGTCTCAGGTGGAAGAGCAGAGAGTTGCAGCCCTAGAGAATCAAATATCTGAGGTGTCTGAATTGCTGGGCACTTATGAGAAAGCCAAGCAGAAGGACCAGCTGACTATCCAGAAGCTGAAGGAGCGCATTCTGCAGCTGGACCTGGAGAACAAGACCCTGGCTCTTGCAGCCTCTAGCCGGTCCCCTCTAGATAGCCATGGAGATGAGTCCAGTCTGGATGTCAATGTCCTCAAGGATAAGATGGAGAAGCTGAAGAGGCTGCTGCAGGTTGCAGCCAGGAAAAGCCAGGTGACCCTGGATGTGGAGAAGCTCTGTGACCTGGAGATAATGCCCAGCTCTGAGGCCACGGATGGGGAGAAGGCCACTGCACTCTACTACCAACAGGAGCTAAAACAACTGAAGGAAGAGTTTGAGCGCTATAAGATGAGGGCTCAGGTTGTGCTGAAGAGCAAGAATACCAAAGATGGGAATCTGGCTAAAGAACTGGAGGCAGCACAGGAACAGCTTGCAGAGCTGAAGGAGAAGTATATCTCCCTGCGGTTGTCCTGTGAGGAGCTTGAGCGCCAGCACCAGCAGGAGGCTGAGGACTGGAAGCAGGAGCTGGCTCGGGTGCAGCAGCTTCACCGGCAGCAGATGGAGCGCAGCCAGCTGGACTTCAGGGACCGAACGCTGAAACTGGAGGAGGAGCTGCACAAGCAGCGGGACCGGGCCCTTGCTGTGCTTGCTGAAAAGGACTTGGAGCTGGAGCAACTGCGTTCAGTGGCTTTGTCTGCTGGGTTACCAGGACGCAGAAGCCCTGTGGTCAGTGGGGTTTCCAGGGATTCAACTGACACATCTTCCCCAGATAGCCTGACCCAAGCACTGCAGCTTGCAGCAGCCAATGAGCCCACTTTCTTCCTGTATGCTGAGCAGTTGGCCCGTAAGGAAGTGGAGATCACATCCCTGAGGAAGCAGAAGCACAGGCTGGAGGTAGAGACACACCAGCTGCAGGATCGGCTGCTGGAGGAAGGGGAGCGGCATCGAGAGGAGGTGGGAGCCTTGCAGAGCCACATTGAAAAGAACATCAGGGACCGGAGCAGGGAGGGAGCTAACCTAGAATACCTCAAAAACATCATCTACCGCTTCCTGACCTTGCCTGACAGCCTGGGCCGCCAGCAGACTCTTACAGCCATACTGACCATCTTACACTTCAGTCCGGAGGAGAAACAAGTGATAATGAGGCTCCCAAGTGGTGGCAGCTGGTGGCCTTCTGGCAAGAGATGATACCATTTTCACTAACACCTGAAATCTCTGTGCCTCTTTTGTGTGGGAATAGGCAGGTTCTGATTGCTACTGCCTCTTGTGTTATCATTTACTTCTTTTTGTTGAACTCCGAGGAGGAGTCTTCAATGTGGGATGGGATTCTCTGCCAAATGCCATTAATGCTGCTTTATCCTGGGCCTAGGAGATATTGGAAAGTGTTGGGACAGCATCTTCTGGGGGTGTGTATGTGAGGGGAAGTGGAAGGTGAGAGAGAGGTTAGGACCAGAGGTGCAAGTCTGGGAAAGTGTTAAGAACTTTTAAAATAATATGTTTTGTCTTAATATTATGATCCTAGTCCAGGGCTAGGAGTAAGTGTGACTCCAGAGGAGTTCAGTTAATTTCTGAACATGTACAGCGACTAGCTGTTCTCTCCATCTCATCACAGTCTGAGTCTGGTCCACTACTGCCCCGATTCTCTGGGGACTTAAAGCCAGGCTGGAAAGTTTGTGACAGGTTTTGTCTAAGAGTCCAAAGGGCCAAGGAATAGTGAGTTCATCCTGGAACTGGAAAGTCTAATCTAGATAGGAATGCAATCTAGACAACACACCATTTGTTGTCTAGATCAACCTAGAGAGACCTGGAGAGGACTATGAGCACTAGTTTGATTAGAGATTTTCTGAATGACCAACTTTGGGCCAGGGCTGGGTTAAAATAGACTTTTCTCCCTGGTCCCTGCCTTACTCTATGTTGGACTGAGATTTTGAGCAAATAACTACTATCTTCCCTTCAATGTTGTTATTTTCATTAAGAAATAAAACCTAGCTTCTTACAGATCCTGCTTGGATAAAAAGGTTTCCTGCTAAGAGTTGCTTCCAGATGTTTTTGCTTTTGTAGGGACAGGGAAGAGATGTGCAGAAGATTCCAAAAGAATGCCATGACCCTCACAGGAAAGTGTAGAAGTTCAATTGATGCTGGGTTGGGTTACTTTCTTCCCATTGGATCTTGACATAAATAGATTAATTCTGCCCCTTAAAGAAAGATGCCTTGTTATTCAGGCAACGGAAAGGAGGCTCTCAGAAAACTTGGGTCCAAACAGTAACAACTCCCCATTCTGCTCTCATTGTATATAGAGGTCTTTGGACCTGAAAGACCAATGGTTGGCTGCTAACTGGACTGATATATATGTATTATTTGGTCATAAAGGCCTGTATTGTGAGAGTTTGAGGTGTGCAAAACAGGTAACAATGTTATTAGTGGGAGGGCAAATGACCTGGATTATCTACAGTGAGCAGAAGTGATGTGTTCAAGTAATGATTATAAACTATAAAATCATTAAACCTGAGTCACTTAATGTGTGTGTTCCTTTATGGTGTCTATGTATCAGGGCACAAAGAGTATGAATATAAATGTGAATGAAAAGCCTGGAAATAGAGTTACTTCATGAACTTAAATCCAGGAATGAATATCTTAGTGCTTTAATGAACCACTTTAGTTATAACACAGATTTCTTGGCCTCAAATTGTGTGTTTTTGGGTGTGAGCAGCTACATTGGAAGAGGCTTTCTCCAGGGTTTAATGGGCAGGCTTGATGATTACAAAATTACTGCTTCAAAGTGTAGGAGTAAAGTTTTTTTTTTTTTTTTTTCCTCTAAGCAAGCTCTCTATTACTGAGCTACATCCCGAGCCCCTAGAAGTAATCTCTCTATGAATGCTTTATTACCCACACAAATCAGAATTTATGATATCCCAGGAAAGTATCTTAGGATATCAAGCTAATAATAATAGATTATCTTCATTTCCTTACCTTACCCCCTCTGTATCTGGGATTGTTGTTATTTCCAGGTAGTTGTGGTCAGAATAGAAAAGATCCAAAGTTATGGCTGCTTTTCTAGAACTGAATTCCTGTGCTTTTTGACTTTTAAAATAATATCAACCAGGCAAAGATTCAGTTCAATTTCTGATTAGTAGTTTTTAAAAAAATATATTTTAGTTATACATGCACACAAATATCTTTATCTTGTTTACTTATTTTTATGTGGTGCTGAGGCTTGAACCCAGTGCCTCACGTGTGCAAGGCAAGCTCTCTGCCACTGAGCTACAACCTCAGCCCTGATTAATAATTTTTTGTTAGACAAAATTAATTTTATTTTAAAATAAAGATTTTAATTACTATTAGTCTTATAACTAATAACTAGTAACATTAATATATACATCCAAGTTTAAGCCATTGGTTATTTTTTATTTTGTGTGGTATTTTTTGTTTTTTTTTAAAAAGACCAAATAAAAAATTTGGTACATCAAAATATAAAAATTGTCAGGTGCACTGGCATATGTCTGTAATCCCATCCACTCAGGAGGTAAAAGCAGGAAGGTTACAAGCTTAAGGCCAACCTGGGAAATAGTGAGACCTGTCTCAAAAAAAATTAAAAAATTTTGAAAAAAGGAATAAAAAGGATTAGGGTATAGCTTATTGGTGGATTGCCTGTGGGTTCTGTCCCCCAATACCACAAAAACAAAACAACATAAAAATTGTACATGTTAATAAGGATGCCATGTGATAATTCTGTACATGTATGCTTTGTGTAATGTTTAAATTGGGTTAAACTTCTGTTTCCACAAACATTTGTCATTTCTTTGTGATGTAAAGATACAAAGTCTAGCTTTTTTAAAATATACAGTAAATGTATATGTATATTTATTTATAGTCAAGCTAATATGTAACAGCACACCAAAAGTTATTACTCTTCTCTAATTTAGTACCCACCAATCAACCTTTCCCTGCCTCTCCCTCCCTGCTACTCTCCAGCCTTTGGTGACCATCATTCTATCTTCCATGTCTGGCTTATTTTACTTAATAATCTTTAGTTTTATCCATGTTGTTACAAGTGACAGATGTCATTCTTTTTTTATGGATGAATAGTATTCTGTTGTGTATATGTGCCACATTTTCTTTTCTTTATCAGTTGATGGATACTTAGGTTGTTTCCATTTCTTGGCAGTTACGAACAGTGCTTTAATAGACATGGGAGAGCAGGTATCTCTTTGACTTATTGATTTCCTTTTGGATGTATATCCAGTAGTGAGATTGCTAAATCATGTAGCAGTTCTATTTTTAATTTTTTGAGGAACCTCCATATCATTTTCCATAAAGGCTATACTAATTTAAATTCCCACCAACTGTACAAGGGTTCCCTTTTCTTCACATTCTTACCAGCACTTATCTTTAACCTTTCTAACAGGTATGAGATGATACCTCATTTTGGTTTTGATTTGTATTTCCCTGACCAGCACTTATCTTTAACCTTTCTAACAGGTATGAGATGATACCTCATTTTGGTTTTGATTTGTATTTCCCTGATGATTAGTGGTATTGAGCATTTTTTTCATATACCTGATATATGAAAAACAATGTCATTGATATTTTGATAGAGATTGCATTGAATTTGTAGATGTATGTCTTTTGAGAAACATCTACTTGGGTATGTTGCCTATTTTTTGATTGGGCTATCTGGTTTATTGCTATTGTGTTTGGGGACGTTCCTTATGTATTCTGGACATCAACTCCTTATCAAAGTATAATTTGCAAATAGTTTTTACTCTTCTGTAGGTTGTCTTTATGGTCTGTTGATTGTTTTCTTTGCTGGGCAGAAGATTTTTAGTTGGATATATTGCCACTTTTCTACATTTGCTTTTGTTTCTTGTGCTTTTCAAGTCTTATCCTAAAAACTGATGCCCATTCCAATGTCCTAAAGCATTTCCCTGTTTTCTTCTAGTGGTTTCAGGTCTTACATTTAAGTCTTTAACCCATTCTGAGTTGGTGAGCAATAGGGGTCTAGTTTCATTCTTCTGCATATGTACACCCAGTTTTCACAGCACCATTGATTAAAAAGACTGTCCTTTCTTCAATGCATGTTTGTAGCACTTTTGCTGAAAATCAGTAGGCCATACATGTGTGGGTTTACTTCTAGGCTCTTCTGTTTCATTGGTCTATATGTCTGTTTTTATGCTAGTACTATTCTGTTTTGATGATTACAAGTTGGTAGTGTATTTTGAAGTTAGTAGTAGAATGCTTCCTGCTTTGCTCTTTTTGCTCAAGGTTACTTTGATGATTTTATTATTATTTTTAATACAAATTTTAGTATTTTTTAAAGTTCTGTGAAGAATGTCATTGATATTTTGATAGAGATTGCATTGAATCTATATATCACTTCGGGTAGTGTGAACATTTTAACAGTATTGATTCTCCCAATCCATGGGCTTTCTGTGTATACTCTTCACTTTCTTATATCAATGTTTTATACTTTTCATTTTCTCTCTCGCTCTCTTTTAACATAAATTAACCCACTTATTATAGGCCAGGGATGTCTCAAATGACAGAGCTTCTACTGGTCTTTCAGTTTCTTCAGTCTTTTTGATGGCTAACTTGACAGTGATGGCATAAGTGGTGTTGTAGGTCCAGGAACCACAGTGCCAGGTCCCTACAGCTCTTCTCTTCATCCTGGTTTTGCCCCAGAAGAAACAATTGAATTTCGTGTGCTGGCTGATTTTCAGTTTCTTTTTCACCATTTTCTGAAGGGAGCCATCGTAGTGTATCCCCTATTTACCAACAATTCTAACCTTCTTGCTGTGTTTAGCCTTGTTGCATGACCTAGGTCTAAACCCAGAGAGCAGTACTGGGGGTCAAATCGAGGGCCTAGCACATGCTAGGCAAATGCTGTACTACTGAGCTACATTCCAAGCCCTTTCTGCTTTATTTTAAGATAGGGTCTCACTGAGTTTCCCAGGTTGGCCTTGAATTTGCAATTCTGTCTCAGCCAAGTAGCTGGGATTACAGGCTTATACCACCATGCTCGATGAGATTATGCTCTTCGTTGTAAAGATCTTTCACCTCTTTGAATTATTCCTAGGTATTTTATTTTTTATAGCTAATTGCAAATGGGATTGCTTTCTTGATTTCTAGTGTTCAGATAATTTGCTATTGGCTACTGATATTTGTATATTGACTTTGTATCCTGCAAGTTGGCTACATTTGCTTATTCCAATATTTTCTTTTTTGTGTGGATTATTATTATTATTATTATTATTATTATTATTTTAAATATAAGATTGTATAATCTGCAAACAATGACAATTTGACTTCTTTTCCAATTTGAATGCCCTTTTTTTCTCTTGCCTGATGCTCTTACTAGGACTTCTACTACCATGTTGAATAAAAATGGTAATGGTGAAACTGGGCATTCTTATTTTGTTCCATGTCTTAAAGAGAAGACTTTCAGCTTTTCCCCATTCAATATAATTAGCTGTCAGGTTACTATATATGGCCTTTATTCTGTCCTTATATGCCTAATTTATTCAGTGTCTTTATCATGAAGGGATGCTAATATTTTTCAAATGCCTTTTATACATCTGTTGAAATCTATTACATACATAGCCGCTCCAATATTGAGTGCAGATATATTTTTCATCTGGTTTTTGTGATCATTCTGTTAATGTGTTGTATCACACTTATTGATATGTATATGTTGAGCCATCCTTGCATCCCTGGTGTGAATCCCACTTTATGATGGTGAATAATCTGTTATGTGTTTTTTTTATTAGTGCATTGTAATTATACGTAATATTGGGATTTATTTTGACATAATCATGCATGTATAGAATATAATTCCCTCCATTTCAGTAGTCCCCAGCATTTCCTCTTTCCTTCCTCACTCCCCCTTTTCGTTGCCTTCTACTCTACTGGTCTTCCTTCTATTTATGGATTTTTTTTTTAAAAGTAGTGATTTATAAATATATATAAAGGTGAAATTAATGTGAGTAATGTTTTTGATGTGCTGTTGGATCAGTTTACTACTTTTTTTTTAAATGGGGGTGAGAATTGAACCCAGTGCCTCACACGTGCTAGGCAAGCGCTCTCCCACTGACCTACGACCCCAACCCAGTTTACTAATATTTTGTTCAGGATTTTTACATCTGTGTTCATCAAGTATATTGGACTATAGTTCATTTCTTTCTTTCTTGTGTTCTTGTCTGGTTTTGGTATTGGGTAATGCTGGCCTCATAGAATATGTTTGAAAGAATTCACTACTCTTCAGTTTTTTGGAATAATTTTAGGAGAATTGGTATTAGTTTTTCTTTAAATGTTTGGTAGAACTAGCCATGAAGCTGTCTGGTTCTGGACTTTACTTTGATGGGAGACTTTTTTTTTTTTTTTTAACTGATTGAATCTTGTAACTCATTATTTGTCTATTCAAGTTTCCTTCTTTTCTTGACTGAGGACATTGAGCCCAGGACATTTTACCACTGAGCCACATCTTAGTCTTTTTAATTTTTTATTTTGAAACAGGGTCTTCTT